GTTGAAATAATCAAATTTCATCTAATGGTATAAAATAATTTCAAAAATATTTTTCTCACCAAGAAATATTATCTTTTTTGTATGACCCTTTGTATCAATCAATTTAACTAACACACTTTTCAATATCAATAACCCACTAATCCAAACTTATCTATCCTCCCTCTCATATTTCTTTCTTATTTTCTCTTTTGTTCATGTTAATTTCAAATTGAGTAATTACAAAAATTAAAAAATTATTTAAAATATAAATATTACACGATTAATATTTAATTTTTTTCATATTATATTGAGTATTTTTAGACACAAAGTTATTGTTAGTTAACCAATAAAACAAAATTCAAACGGCAGCCTTGTCTTTTTAACTCCTGGATCCTGCCAAAGCAAATATTTGAGCATATTTGGATTCAAATAATTTAATTTTTGGGAATAGAAATTCAAAGGATTCAAAATTTCAAATTCAAACATTCTAAGAACCTAAGCAACGGTAATGTGAACAGTCGTATGTTACTACTTTTTGGTTTTTGGGTGAATACAATCCTGTCCGGATGCTAGTAATAGATCGTGTACGTGATACTTTGGGGATGAATTTGGATCCTCCCACAATTTCTTTAGACTAATGCTATAAAATTTAAATAAAATTTTAAAAATTATAATTTAAATGTATATCATGAGTGGGTCCTATCAAATTTTTTAGTGAGACTCACTCATCCAACAATCATTCAAGAGATGATATGCATTTGAGTTTTAATTTTTGAGTTTCATTTAGGTTATATAGTATTTTTCATTTTTTTTTACTAAGGGTAACTCATGTTTGAAGACACGGTACAATGTGAATGGTTTTGAGAGTAATGTTGGTAACCGTTGGATGAGTTTATTTGAGAACGTCAGATGAACTTATTAAAATCTGTCATGTTTTATATTATAGAATTTTTCCATTTAATAATTAAATAAGTAAAACTCCATGCATTTTTTTTTTCGTGTTTATCTCTGAAATGGTATTAGTTTTAAAAAATATATTATTACAATTTAAAATTTTATATCCATAGCAATAGGATGAAAAAAAGACCAAGCANTATCTCTGAAATGGTATTAGTTTTAAAAAATATATTATTACAATTTAGAATTTTATATCCATAGCAATAGGATGAAAAAAAGACCAAGCAAAAAATATTTGAAATAGAACTATGCATCTATAACAAGCTCGGGCGGAGCCATTGATATCATTTAGTTCTGTATTCAAATTGTCACAAACTTTGCTTTTAATTTATAAGCAAAACTATGTAAGTTGTGAAACAAATAAAAATAATGAGTCACAGAGAAATAAAGACTAATTACAGACTAATTTCAAATAAATTTACCTTTAAATTAAGAACAAAAAGCCAAAAAACTCATAAATACGTAATTTAGGGGTGTCAATCGTGTTGAGTTAAACGGTTATGTGTCGGATTAAAAGAGTGATGGATAAAAATAATGTAAACTCATACACAACACAATTAATAACTAGGTGAAAAGCTCAACACAAACACGAACCGTGTAATAAACAGGTAACACGACACGATTTGTTTAACCCATTTAATTTTAAACGAGAGTCGTGTTAGATAGGGTCGGGTTAACACGGTAAATCACTCGTTAAACTTATCTACCTTTTTTGTTTAAAAATGTTATATAACTTTATAAAACTAACAATCTAACAATTTTAGATGGTTTATATATTTTATGTGGCTGTCACTAAAAAATATATATATTTTTTGGTTAATTTTTTAAAATAATTGTTAATTTATTATTATATTAATTTTATTTAAATGAGTAAACAGGTTGATAGGTTTCACCCGAACACAACCTGTTTATTAAACGTGTCTGGTGGATCAACTCATTATCACATAAACCCGTTTAATTTGTGTCAATTAATGGTATCGAACTTTGACAGACCTAACATAATCAAAGTCAATTGTAGGAAGTCTTGAAATTACAAAACTAACCATATATATAATTATAGGTCAATCACAACCCATATGTTTATAAAATATTGTCAAAAATAAAAAGTGATAGAGTGGGCACCACAAAATATGTTTGAGTCATGCTTAAATTTATGTTTCTCCATACAAATAAAAAGATTTCATAAAAAATAAAAAATAAGAGTGGGCTCGTGCCCCACCCTAGTCCCTTCCTTGATCCGCCCACGATAGCAAGAGAAATATACTCATGAGGGGGTGAAAGAGGGATGTCCGACAAAATAGCACAATAGAACTAAATTTCTTTTTAAAGAATTAAGGGTAACTGACCAGGTGAATGATTAATTAATTAAGCTTATTTTTAAGTACTGGTGACAAGAATCTCTTAAAAAATGTGTTTTGATATTTTTTGTGTCTTAAAACTTGTTTGATTAAATGATTTCAAAAACAGTTGTATAAAACAAAAAATAATAAAACTTGTTTGGACAGTAATTCAAAAAATAATAACCCAAAAATAAATTATTTCCTTAAAAAAAATTTGATTTTAATGATCAAAATAAACATATTATACCCAAAAATACAAACACCGCCGAAATAATCTCAAATGACCATTATATTATACCTAACTTCAATCATATGACACCTAGATTTGTGAATTTTATTATAAATCATGTTTACTAGTGCTTTAATCATGTAAAAGTTAATTAAGGTTTTACAGATCTGAAAAGAACATATATGTAAATCATGTATAGATTTGTATAGATGCTTCGAGAGAGAGACGTCAGAGCTATTGGTCTAAAGAAAGAGAAGGCGTCGATTAGATGGTGGGATCTCAGACATTCACCGAAGCTGCGCCTTCCAGTCGTCGAATCTGTGGGTTGAAGATAAATCTATGGTCTCGGTGAGAGAAAGAGAAAAAAAGAGAGCGAGATAGAGATAGACATCGGAGTTGTTGGTCTGAAGAAAGAGAGGACATCGATTCAATGGTGGGATCTTAGGTGTTCGTCGAGGTTGCACCTTTCACCGAATCTGTGGGTTGAAGACAAATTCATAGTGTCGGCAAGAGAGAGAGAGAAAAAAAAATAGAAAGAGAGAGAGAGTGGACAAGGAAAAAGAATGCAAAAAAAAAAAAAAATGCTTTTAAAGTGGTACATTAAGTGCACAGGAAAACTGTTCCGTGTTTTCTAAATTTTCGAAAATTTGTTTCCAAAATCATCCAAAACAGCCCATATGTTCTCTAATCTTTGTCCTTTTTCTTTCCAGTTTTCGACAAACAAAAAAGAGAATACAGCTATTCAAACATGTTTCCTCCATTTTTTGGATTTTGAAAACAAAAAAGAGTTTTACGGTCACAAAACCAAACAAACCCTTAGTGTTGAAGAATTGGATTAACCGTGAAATATTTCTCTAAAAATGAGGAGCACACAATTTATAAAATTAACTAATTATCAACTCGCGTCAAATTAAATTGTTTTAGGGAACATATAAAATTGAATTGTCATATCAAGGAAAAAAAATTAAATACATGAAAAGAATTCCACTCACCAATTAAAATTGCACACTAGTAAACGAAAAAGGATGGTATTACACCTGCCAAAATTTCAAACTAAATTTCTCACACCAAGTAATGTGTCATGTTTATTCTAATTATAATAAATGTGCTATATTATTTGGGATGAAGAGATTGGTAGGACCATAATTATTCCAAAAAAGAGTATAACTTTAGTTTATGCGTAAATCTTATTTTATCTAGAATATCAATTAAAATTAAATGGAGAACTTTAAAGACTATTAGATCTACAGTTCCAATTTGTTTTAGTTCTTACCAATTTATAAGTATTACAAATAAAAAAAAACAAAAAATATAAGTGTTACAACCAAATTCACTATTCAAACAACCAAATTTTTTTTATCTTTTCTTATATTTCTTTATTTTCTTGCATATCGGTTTTAATTTACGTTTCTAAATACCTATTTAGTTATGATTAATATTATTTGTACCAAAAAATTTGATTTAATTTACTAACATAATGATGCGGTTTTATAGGAATTATTAGATCAACACTAAATTTCAATGTTTGATGAGACTTACATCAATCTAAAGGTCACAGTGAATTAAATCAACAAATTATGACAGTAAATTAGTATGTTTCTAATAACATTACTTGTTAGTTATAGCAAACAAATTGAATCTTTTGCATCCCATCAAAAAGAGAAAAAAATTGGAAAATATAAACCAAATATTTTATTTACATATTGGGTGATCTTAATAAGCGGATTTAGATATCTTTTAATATCTTTTAATTATTTAATATTTTCAAAATTAAACTACTCAATAAAAATTTAAAACAAAATTCCTTACATATTAATAGAGTTTCTAATTTATTATTAAATTATTTTTAAAAGAGAATACAAAAAGTAATGTGAAACCGTATGAAATTAAGCGAAATTCCTTAGAAAAAAGAGAACACAGATTCAGGCACCGCGTACAAAGCGTGCCAAGGCAACCCCCTAAATTCCTGAAATAACCTTTGAATTCCCCAATTCTCGCCGTCTCCTGCTCTCTCTCTGTCTCTCTCCGTGTCTCTGTCTCTACAGATTCTTCTTCACAAAGTGAAGAATAAGAAAAGGAAAAAATCACTAGCAGCCCACAACGTAGAACCTGTCTGGTTTAGACTGTTTAGTCTCTCTCTTTCGATTTGGTGTAGGATTGAGTGTACATCGTTCTTTACATTTGATTTTGGTACTGTTGTCCGAAAATCTTTGCAAATGCTCTTACAATTGGCCACACAATCCAAATGCTCTCAAACTTTCCCTTCTTACACTCGTTTTTGAAGGAAAAAAAGGTAGTGAATCAATCAAATCTCGACTCTTTGCGCCTTCTATAAAATGACTGAATCAGATCTCTTGAGTCTCTCTCTCTCTCTCTCTCTCTCTCTCTCTCTCTCTCTCTCTGTATGTGTGCATGTCTGTTTGTGTTTTAGTTCGGAAAAGGGTTTTTTGAGGGTGGTGGAGAGCCGGCGGCATTGAAAAGCGCAAAAAAGATTTGGGTTTTAGTTGTGTTGAAGGTGTGAGTTGTTTGAGACTTTTTCTTAGCTGAATTTTGGAGCATTGTAATGCCATAAGCAGTCTCTATCTATTTTTGAATTGTTCTTACTCTGAGAGAGAGAGAGAGAGAGAGAGAGAGAGAGAGAGAGAGAGAGATTGCAAGTTATTAAATTAATAGTATTTTTGAAAAATGAGGGACTGGGTCATGCCTAACATTTTGTGGCTATGAAAGCTGTGTTTTACAGTTGTAATTTGAAATGCAAAAGACAAACACTACGTCTGGGTTGAAAATTTCTTACACGTCTCAAAAGCCGTTTCTTTCTTGTTTATTATTTCGCTAGTTTTGCAAGTATTGGGCGACCAGTAGAGGATATATAGTCTATATATTATGTACTCTCTATAGCTGACATTTTTTGTGGAGAAGACCCAGGATGCTGGTTTGATCTTCAATCTTTCTTGGGCTTTGGTTCTGTTTGGGGTCTGGGATAGTTGGGTTCTGAAATAGTGTTCTGATGATCTGTTATATTATTGTTTCTGAGTCTCGAATTTTTAGGTACTTTTTCCACACTTTGCTTTATTTTGAATTGTTTTGTGCTGTTGCTGTGGGAAAACTGTTTGAAATCATGCTTTAAAGTTTCAAAATCCACGGAGAGGGAGAGAGAGAGAGAGAGAGTTAATGTTTAAATGCTCTTTGTAGATCTGTCTGAGAGTTCTGTACCTGAATGTATCTTTGTAGCTCTGTCTGAGAGTTGTGTATCTGAATCTATACTGATGCTTTTCTCTGTTTTTTGTTTCATCTATGAAATTCCAGGTTCTTGTGATTCATATGCATCTTTCTGGGTAATTATTACTGAAATGTCTTCAAGATCATTCAGAGCCGCAGACCCAAAGCCGGCCAAGGCTTCAGTTCCTCCATCAGTGACTTTTGCTCGGAGGACCTCCTCAGGCCGGTATGTGAATTATTCCTATAGTGATTTTGATAGCGAAATCGGCAGTGCTGAATTTGCTAACTACACGGTTCAAATTCCGGCAACACCTGATAACCAGCCCATGGATCCTTCCATTTCCCAGAGGGTTGAAGAGCAATATGTATCGAACTCTTTGTTTACTGGCGGGTTTAACAGTGTGACTCGTGCCCATTTGATGGATAAGGTGATTGAGTCTGAAACTAGCCATCCCCAGATGGCTGGTGCAAAAGGGTCATCTTGCTCGATACCAGGATGTGATGGGAAGGTCATGAGTGATGAGAGGGGTGAGGATATTCTCCCCTGTGAATGTGATTTCAAGATTTGTAGGGATTGCTATGTTGATGCTGTGAAAACTGGTGATGGGATTTGTCCTGGTTGTAAAGAGCCTTATAAGAATACAGATTTGGATGAGAAGGCGGTGGAGAGTGCACGGCCTTTGCCTTTACCATCCAACGTTGGGATGTCAAAGATGGAGAGGAGGCTGTCTTTGATGAAGTCCACTAGTAAGTCGGCGTTGGTTAGAAGCCATTCGCAATTGATGAGGAGCCAGACGGGGGATTTTGATCATAACAAATGGTTGTTTGAAACGAAGGGGACTTATGGGTATGGGAATGCCATATGGCCAACGGATGGAGGACTAGGGGACGAGAGAAATGATGGGGATGGTGAGCCTAGGGAACTTCTCAGTAAGCCATGGAGGCCACTTACTCGCAAATTGAAGATTCCTGCAGCTGTTATCAGCCCATATCGGTAAAATAACGTTCCACTCTGATATTAGAGATTGCTTTATTTTGATTGCCTTCCCCTGTTTTCTGCTTGCTTTAATGACATTGTAAAGTTTGGGGTCAAATTGTGGTTTACCCATCTGTAACTTACCTCCTTAGCCAAATACTTAGCATGATACTGTGACTCATGAGTAGATGATGTTGGGTAATACATTTAAGTAAATTCAGAAATAAGAATAAGATTAAGAAGAGATGGATTTTGCTTTGCTTGCTCATATCTAGTAAATGTGTGAATTATACAGTTTTAAACTTTCAAGGTGTTAAAACTACCATAAGTAGTACTGTCTCAGATAACCCTTCATGTATCTTTATGTCTATGCTATCAACACCATTTAACGATGCTCCTATCAATCTGCCACTTAACAATCTGTAATGACAGTCCATTGTGTCTTATCTGTTGTTTTTGATTAGTTTTTGAATATGCAATCATGTGGGTCAAAATGGTGCCTGCCAGAATGATATATGCTCCTCCAGCACCTCATGAAAATACATTTTGCTTCTTCTTTCAACTTTCTCTTATGCGACTTGTCAAAAGAATATACTTTCTCTATATTCACATTTTTGGTATTATTGGTTAAAATCAACTTTTGCTTGGTTAAATATGATCTTCCTTTTCTATTAGCCATTCGAAAGGTGCATAATCTGCAAAAGGGAAAGGAGCTGTTATGCTAACAAGTATGTTTCTTATTATGTATTGTTTTCATTTTCTTCTTCCTTTATAGTTTTTTTTTTTTGCCTTCTTGGGCACATCTGTTGCCATGATGTTAATGTAACAGAGTGAAATGATCTTGTGTATGGTTTGTATATAAAGTTGTTGGCCGGAAGTTATATCCTTTATTGTGTTTGAAATCATACAAATATTCTTTATCCGATAGAAATTGTTCTCTAATTTGCTGCATCCTGTATGCAGGCTTCTAATTTTTGTTCGAGTAATTGTTCTCGGGCTATTTCTTCAATGGAGGATCAGTAACCCGAATAATGATGCAAGATGGCTTTGGTTAATGTCTGTTATCTGCGAGATTTGGTTTGCCTTCTCTTGGTTACTTGACCAGCTTCCCAAATTCTGCCCTGTTAATCGTGCTACTGACCTTGATGTTTTGAAAGAAAAGTTTGAGACACCTGGCCCCCACAACCCCACTGGAAAATCAGATCTCCCAGGCATAGACATCTTTGTTTCTACCGCTGATCCAGAGAAAGAGCCACCCCTTGTTACGGCAAACACCATTCTGTCAATTCTGGCTGCTGATTACCCTGTGGAAAAACTTTCTTGCTATGTTTCGGATGATGGAGGTGCCCTACTAACCTTTGAGGCAATGGCAGAAGCTGCAAGTTTTGCCAACTTGTGGGTCCCATTTTGCCGCAAACATGATATTGAGCCAAGGAACCCAGAATCTTATTTCAGTTTAAAGAGAGATCCTTATAAGAATAAGGTGCGTCCAGATTTTGTCAGGGATCGTAGACGGGCCAAGCGTGAGTATGATGAATTCAAGGTTCGAATCAATGGCCTTCCTGATTCAATTCGCCGTCGTTCCGATGCCTACAATGCTCGAGAGGAAATCAAGGCTATGAAACTTCAAAGGGAGAAAGCAGGGGATGAATTATTGGAACCTATCAAGATTTCTAAAGCCACGTGGATGGCTGATGGAACTCATTGGCCTGGCACTTGGATAGTTTCATCTCCTGAGCACTCTAGGGGTGATCATGCAGGAATCATACAAGTAATCATTTATAATTGTTTATTGTGGCTTTAAATGGATTTCTGATATGAACAAATACATTTAGCTGGTTTTGCAAGGATCTCCATCCTTTCATTTGAATATCTCAGCATGTGCCTTTGACATATTTGAATTCGTGTGTGAAATCATTCTTTTTGTTTATTGACTGATTTGCGTAGCAGAGACCTTTTTATCTGGTCATGTTTAGTGAAGTATATTGTGTAGATCTATTATAGGTATTTCTTTGCCATGTGTTAAACCGGGACTAGCATGAACCATAAGAGACATAATTTCTTGTCATGAAGCTATATGTGATTTTGCCATTGCCATTGCCATTCTGTTTTTGTTTTGTGTTTGAAACATCTTTATCATAAATGAATCTTTTAAAATATTTGACCCCAGGTCTGCATGTCAACTTACTGCAAATTAGTTTGCAAGAGTAAGTCAAATTCAGTCTTCCTCAGTGGTCATTCTTTGGTTTAACTTCATTTTGGGATAACTTACCTACTAGTCCTCCTGTCCTTGGCATTGTTCAAGCCTCATCTGGTTGAGCTTGTGTTGGTCTTGGCGAAAGTTCACATGAATCTGTTCTGCTGGCTTAACACAACAAATTCATTGTACTGTTCTTCATGCACCTTGATGTTCAGTTGTACCTTGATGTACACTTGTACCACGGTTCTGCAAAATAAACCCCCATTGTGATTTAAACATTCGTTTAAGCATATTTAGTTCCTCATACTTTTCTGTTAATGAATGTGAAAGGTAGTCAAGGTTGCTTTTGAAATCTTTATGCTGACTAACAAGCTGGCTATGTGAACTGCAGGTGATGTTGAAACCTCCAAGTGATGAATCACTGCATGGCACAGATGCTGACACAAATGCTATTAATCTAACAGAAGTCGACATACGACTTCCTATGCTGGTCTATGTATCTCGTGAAAAGCGCCCTGGCTATGATCACAATAAAAAGGCTGGGGCCATGAATGCTTTGGTTCGAGCCTCAGCCATCATGTCCAATGGCCCCTTCATTCTTAACCTTGACTGTGACCACTACATTTACTACTCGCAGGCAATAAGGGAAGGCATGTGTTTTATGATGGATCGCGGTGGGGACCGCATTTGTTATGTCCAGTTTCCTCAGAGGTTTGAGGGGATTGATCCGTCCGATCGCTATGCGAATAACAACACAGTGTTCTTTGATGTCAACATGCGTGCCCTTGATGGGCTTCAGGGTCCAGTCTATGTTGGTACTGGATGCCTTTTCCGGAGAATGGCCATTTATGGTTTTGACCCACCACGAATAAAAGAATACCACCCTGGTTGCTGCAGCTGTTGCTTTCCTCGTCTCAAAAGTAGTGCAACTGTTGCTTCTGCCCCTGAGGAGAACAGAGCACTTAGAATGGGAGATTATGATGATGAGGAAATGAACCTTTCTCTGTTTCCTAAGAAGTTTGGAAATTCAAGTTTCCTTATTGATTCTATCCCAGTTGCTGAGTTTCAAGGCCGACCTATTGCTGATCACCCCTCCGTAAAGAATGGACGACCTCCTGGTGCTCTGACTATTCCACGGGAGCTTCTTGATGCATCTACTGTTGCTGAAGCAATCAGTGTCATCTCATGTTGGTATGAAGATAAAACTGAATGGGGCAATCGAGTTGGATGGATTTATGGTTCAGTAACTGAAGATGTGGTGACAGGATATAGGATGCACAATCGGGGATGGAGATCTATTTATTGTGTGACCAAGAGAGATGCTTTTCGTGGGACTGCACCAATCAATCTGACTGATAGGCTCCACCAGGTCCTTCGGTGGGCCACAGGTTCTGTTGAGATATTCTTTTCTCGCAACAATGCTATTCTTGCCGGTCCTAAGATGAAAATTTTGCAGAGAATTGCCTACCTCAATGTTGGTATTTACCCCTTCACTTCATTTTTCCTCATTGTCTACTGCTTCCTCCCAGCGCTCTCCCTCTTCTCTGGTCAGTTTATTGTCCAGACTCTCAATGTCACATTCCTTACATACCTACTGGCCATCACCTTAACTCTTTGCGCACTTGCTGTGCTTGAGATCAAATGGTCTGGTATCTCACTGGAAGAGTGGTGGCGAAATGAACAATTCTGGTTGATAGGAGGCACAAGTGCCCATCTTGCTGCTGTGCTTCAGGGCCTACTTAAGGTGATTGCTGGGATTGAAATCTCATTTACCCTGACATCAAAATCTGCTGGTGATGAAAATGATGATGAATTTGCTGATCTCTATATCATCAAATGGACATCCCTGATGATACCACCAATTACAATCATGTTAGTTAACTTGATTGCCATAGCAGTTGGTGTTAGCCGTACAATATACAGCGCTATACCACAGTGGAGCCGCTTGTTAGGAGGGGTGTTCTTCAGCTTCTGGGTCCTTACTCATCTCTACCCCTTTGCAAAAGGGCTTATGGGAAGGAGAGGAAGGACACCAACAATTGTGTTTGTTTGGTCAGGACTTATTGCAATTACTATTTCCCTCCTCTGGGTCGCAATTAATCCCCCGGCTGGTAGTAGTGAAATTGGAGGTTCTTTCCAGTTCCCCTGATCTTTCGTGCTCTAGTTGCTGGTACTCACATTCTTCGTCATCCACATTGTTTTTTCGACAGCAATTTGTAAGAAAGTAGAGGAGGGCATTCGAGATGGATTCATTGTCACTATGTGCTTGAGCTTTGGACTCTAGATGTTTATTGCAAATTGTGTTACATTCTTTGTAATTAAGACAACTGGGAAGTTATTAAAGCTGATTTTTTTTCTTCTTATTTTTGGTGCCGGTATTAGTTTTTGTAGCTCGTCATTTTCTGTCATCTGTTGGAAATATTGACATTGCAGCAAGTCCTATCAGTTGCATTTACAGTGAAACAAGACTATTCAGATTGTGGTTAAAAATGCTTCTGGGGTGTATCCATGTGGTTTCCCTTAGAGGGAAAACTTGTAATGTTGCTTGTATGCATGGCAGGGTTCTAAAACTCAGGTTACAGTGAAACAGACATCATTTGTGCTACAACTTCAGAAACTACATGGAATTGTGCAAACTTGAAACGCAAAGAAAAATAAAAGAACACTGCTTTGGGATTTGCTGTAGAAATTTAGAAAACAAAAAAAAATAGTAAATTTGGTTTTAAAACAATAATTAAAAATATTGAAGCATTGTGATACACTTTCAATTCCACAGAGTTTTTGAACTCAATTGAAAATCAACTAAAGAGTGATTTCAATTGGAATATTTAGCGGTAATAATATTAAAAATATATATCTAAAAATATAATTGATAATTTATTTGAATAAATTTAGGTATTTACTTATAGATTACAAACATTCATCGTGGCTGGAATCGACATTGAATTAAGCTTTCCAACAAATAAATCCTAATTTTATAGCAAATAAAAAATCAAATATTTTATGACAATCCTCGATAATTAATTCAAGAATGCAACAATGTATATGACACAACGAATTAAGAAATCATGCATGAAAATAACATTGAACAAAAGATAATACCATGATTCATTAAAAGTATCTCTTCCAGCTTTAGTTGGGATTTGGCAATCCATAGACAAATACACCAAAAACTAGAAAAGAAAATGTTGAGAAAAAAAATGCTCTTTCAACAGGTGAGAACTTTTATTTATACTAAAATAAAACTTAGGTATAGGTAGGAGATATAGAGTTGTCTTGAGAGAAATTATTTTTCAAAAAGAAGTTTTAAGGTTAAATTTCTTGCATCAAATCTTGAGGCGCAAATACCATATCTTCGTAGACTTTGAGCTTAATTTTTGTGTAGTTAGAGATAGATTCACAAAATTTTCATCAATACACTTTTATATCTTTTGAAGTCTTTTTTCTAATGTCGCAAAAATCAGATCAATCGGATATTGGGGTAAAAAGTTATGACTAAAATAATGAAGACATTTCAATAATTTATCTTCTAAAATATTTTGCTAATCCAACTCTAAATGATTTTTGTACTAATTTGAACCTATAAGAATTAAATTGATGTCTTATCTTTAAATTTTCATTTTTTAATCTTAACGCTTCAATCCTTATTAATTATGATTCTTTCTTTATTATTTGTTTTACTTGTCTTATCCATTATAACTTTAAATCAATCAAATTACCTACAAAATAAATCAAAAAATTAGAAAAAAAATATCAAACAAGAAAATCAAAGAATGTAACATATTTAATCACAAATAATATATAATTAATCAATCATTTAATATAATAAAATAACACTTTTAATGATTAATCAATTTAATGCGAAAGATTTAATGTCGTTGGTTCTAAGTTCATTTTCACAAGACGTTCGTTTATAGTGAATTATCTAAATAGTAAATGGATTATCTGAAAAGTAAATAGTAGACAATTTTATTTTCATTTTGAAAAGGCTTACTTTTAAAGTTCATAACCATGAAGTATCATTTGTATTAGTAATTACATTTCAATCTCATTCTTAGACTTAAACAAGCAAAATCTTACTTGAATAGGTAAGCATTTACTATCGCTCTAGGGCCCGAATCATTACATAAGAAAAGGTATTATAACAACATAGTCTTGCAAGAGGCCTCATTAATAAAGAAAATTAATAAACCTCACATCACAATGACTCAGTCTTGAAACTAAGCTTGACTTTTTTGCATAATATTTTAACAAATCAATTTGAAATTTCTTAATAATTTTTCTAATCATCAACTTAGCAAAGTCATTCTAATAATACAAATCAAATCTTAGTAAGAAACGCCAAAGAAATATTATGTCTATCCATCATTTTCTTACTTACATCATTCTATTGTATAAAAAAATTAGGGGTAACTCGTGCCTGAAACTACGATGAAATGTGAATTATTTTGAAAGAAATATTGGTGACTATTGGATGAGTCTATTTGAGACTGTAGGATGAATTTATTGAAATTTATCATGTTTTATATTATAGATATTGCATTTTACCCTATAATTTTCATAATTTNCTTTGGACTCTAGATGTTTATTGCAAATTGTGTTACATTCTTTGTAATTAAGACAACTGGGAAGTTATTAAAGCTGATTTTTTTTCTTCTTATTTTTGGTGCCGGTATTAGTTTTTGTAGCTCGTCATTTTCTGTCATCTGTTGGAAATATTGACATTGCAGCAAGTCCTATCAGTTGCATTTACAGTGAAACAAGACTATTCAGATTGTGGTTAAAAATGCTTCTGGGGTGTATCCATGTGGTTTCCCTTAGAGGGAAAACTTGTAATGTTGCTTGTATGCATGGCAGGGTTCTAAAACTCAGGTTACAGTGAAACAGACATCATTTGTGCTACAACTTCAGAAACTACATGGAATTGTGCAAACTTGAAACGCAAAGAAAAATAAAAGAACACTGCTTTGGGATTTGCTGTAGAAATTTAGAAAACAAAAAAAAATAGTAAATTTGGTTTTAAAACAATAATTAAAAATATTGAAGCATTGTGATACACTTTCAATTCCACAGAGTTTTTGAACTCAATTGAAAATCAACTAAAGAGTGATTTCAATTGGAATATTTAGCGGTAATAATATTAAAAATATATATCTAAAAATATAATTGATAATTTATTTGAATAAATTTAGGTATTTACTTATAGATTACAAACATTCATCGTGGCTGGAATCGACATTGAATTAAGCTTTCCAACAAATAAATCCTAATTTTATAGCAAATAAAAAATCAAATATTTTATGACAATCCTCGATAATTAATTCAAGAATGCAACAATGTATATGACACAACGAATTAAGAAATCATGCATGAAAATAACATTGAACAAAAGATAATACCATGATTCATTAAAAGTATCTCTTCCAGCTTTAGTTGGGATTTGGCAATCCATAGACAAATACACCAAAAACTAGAAAAGAAAATGTTGAGAAAAAAAATGCTCTTTCAACAGGTGAGAACTTTTATTTATACTAAAATAAAACTTAGGTATAGGTAGGAGATATAGAGTTGTCTTGAGAGAAATTATTTTTCAAAAAGAAGTTTTAAGGTTAAATTTCTTGCATCAAATCTTGAGGCGCAAATACCATATCTTCGTAGACTTTGAGCTTAATTTTTGTGTAGTTAGAGATAGATTCACAAAATTTTCATCAATACACTTTTATATCTTTTGAAGTCTTTTTTCTAATGTCGCAAAAATCAGATCAATCGGATATTGGGGTAAAAAGTTATGACTAAAATAATGAAGACATTTCAATAATTTATCTTCTAAAATATTTTGCTAATCCAACTCTAAATGATTTTTGTACTAATTTGAACCTATAAGAATTAAATTGATGTCTTATCTTTAAATTTTCATTTTTTAATCTTAACGCTTCAATCCTTATTAATTATGATTCTTTCTTTATTATTTGTTTTACTTGTCTTATCCATTATAACTTTAAATCAATCAAATTACCTACAAAATAAATCAAAAAATTAGAAAAAAAATATCAAACAAGAAAATCAAAGAATGTAACATATTTAATCACAAATAATATATAATTAATCAATCATTTAATATAATAAAATAACACTTTTAATGATTAATCAATTTAATGCGAAAGATTTAATGTCGTTGGTTCTAAGTTCATTTTCACAAGACGTTCGTTTATAGTGAATTATCTAAATAGTAAATGGATTATCTGAAAAGTAAATAGTAGACAATTTTATTTTCATTTTGAAAAGGCTTACTTTTAAAGTTCATAACCATGAAGTATCATTTGTATTAGTAATTACATTTCAATCTCATTCTTAGACTTAAACAAGCAAAATCTTACTTGAATAGGTAAGCATTTACTATCGCTCTAGGGCCCGAATCATTACATAAGAAAAGGTATTATAACAACATAGTCTTGCAAGAGGCCTCATTAATAAAGAAAATTAATAAACCTCACATCACAATGACTCAGTCTTGAAACTAAGCTTGACTTTTTTGCATAATATTTTAACAAATCAATTTGAAATTTCTTAATAATTTTTCTAATCATCAACTTAGCAAAGTCATTCTAATAATACAAATCAAATCTTAGTAAGAAACGCCAAAGAAATATTATGTCTATCCATCATTTTCTTACTTACATCATTCTATTGTATAAAAAAATTAGGGGTAACTCGTGCCTGAAACTACGATGAAATGTGAATTATTTTGAAAGAAATATTGGTGACTATTGGATGAGTCTATTTGAGACTGTAGGATGAATTTATTGAAATTTATCATGTTTTATATTATAGATATTGCATTTTACGCTATAATTTTCATAATTTGACTTTTAATGTTGTTCTTAATTTTAATCACACATGTGACAGCAGCTACATTTGGTTGGGTCGTTGAACAAACCAAGGAATTGGTCCTCTGGGCAATTGACCTGTTCTATATCTGTAATGATCATGACAAATACTGATGGAAGTATTTTATCTTTTTCTTTTTCTTTTTCTTTTTTTGGGGAGGGGGTTGGTGTGGGGACTAAATAGTCTTTCTGCATTTTTGTGTAATTGAATACCAGGAAAATTAGGGCCAGTTTGGTTTGAATTTTGAAAACAGTTTTAGATCTCAAATTTCTAAAAAACAAGTGATATTTGTTTGTTTTTCGTGGTTTGCAGACAAAATAAGGTAGGCTTGTTTTTTGTGGTTTGCAGACAAAATAAGGGAAGCCCAACAACACGGAGAACAACCTAATTTTTCATTAATGAAGTCTGTTTCAAATTTTCTTAGCAGCAAAATATATCCAATTATAAAAAAAAAAATTATTGTATTTCTCTTCTTTTTTTTTTTTACTTTCTCTCTCTCTCTCAAAGAAACTATCTAATTTGTTTCAAATTTACATTATTTTTGGGCCAATCGTAACTTGTACTTTGAAAAATCACTCGAATTTTA